GCAGGGTTCCCAAGCGGAATATGAGTTGCTGTTCCTGCAACCTTCGGCTCGCAACCCTAACCCTAACCCTAACCCTATCGCAGGTTGCAGGAACAGCAACTCATATTCCGCTTGGGAACTCTGCAGCCCAATGGTATCAACGTGGATTTCACAAACTTCATAATCTCCCCTCCCTCTACCGCATCCCAAACCCAGCCCAGCTTGTCCCTGCCTCCCTAACCTGTTTTTCCTCCCACCTATCCCCTCCTCCCACCTCAAGCCTATCTACTAACCTCATCCCACCCCCTTGACCTGTCCGTCCTCCCTGGACTGACCTATCTCCTCCCTACCTCCCCACCTACACTCACCTTTACTGGATCCATCCCTGCCTCTTTGACCTGTCTGTTTCCTCTCCACATATCTTCTCCTCTATCCATCTTCTATCCGTCTCCCCCTGTCTCCCTATTTATTTCAGAACCCCCTTCCCCTCCCCCATTTCTGATGAAGGGTCTGGGCCCGAAACGTCAGCCTTCCCTCCTATGATGCTGCTTGGCCTGCTGTGTTCATCCAGCTCTACGCCTTGTTACTTCTTTCTCTAAACTGAGGTTAGATGGCCACTGCGAGTCAGTATACAGGGTACAAATGCTTTTCTCCAAATGACCTTCTTAAAAGACAAAAAGAAACTTAATGAACTATAATTTGCAAATGCAGGTTACCCAATTTACATGACATATAGAGAAATTATCCCTTTGTTTTGGTCTGTACCATATTCATGTGTCTCAGCACAGGTATTTAATTCACAGTCTTCAAATTTTTTGGATCTTTTAATGGTATGTATGCAAATTGTTTTGCATGTTCTTCTGGCGCCTGTTCTTTCTTAGAGTCTCTGGCTTGAGGGAATGCAATTCAGTTTGCAGTAATGCCCTGAATGCAAATTAAGTTGTCCTTACTACATGAGGATTGCTCCAAGCTCTATCCCACTGGCATCACACTGCAGGGTGACTTCATCACTGACATTGTAGTAACTCAACACTGGCCCTGTTGTCACTAGTTGTTTGATGCGAATCAAAGTGGCTTCTTGTTCTATCCTCCAGTGTCACCATGTTTCCTTTGCAGTCAGCTTGCATAGAGGTTTGCTAACATTGCTAGGGAGCAAAGCAAAAATCCAACAAATTGTTGTACTTTCATATCTGTTAATTTCTGCATCACTATGACAACTGTTAGCTTATCAGTATCAAGATGAAGTTCTTTAACTCCCAATAGATGACCCATATACTTGACTTCAGTCATCTTCAATTGTGTTTCCTCCTGTTCAGCTTCAGGTTCATTTGGCGAGCCCTCGCAGTCTCACTGCACTCAATTTTGATTGTGGCTTCTGTCGGCATCTTCCATTCCATCTCCACTGATTATCCATGATAGCTTCCACTCTGGCAAGATCACTACTATCTTGTGCTGTCTACATTGACACCATCCCAGAGCACTGTTAATATCAAAGGGCATGCCCAACCTTTATACCTCCCAACCGGCATTCAGAAAATTGCTTCTTGCCAGTATTCATCATTCGTCTTTAGGGTGGTAAGGACCTTTTGCTATGACAACTTGTAGCAAAACATCTCCCATGTTTGGGATGAAGTATTGAGTTTTACATATCATTGATTGTTTGCCTCAATATGCAGTCTTAGTTCATGCCCTATCTTCCAGCACAATTAGTAGCAACGTGAATGTCAGGAAGAATTTAGACAGGTCTGACAGAGAACTTTTTGGAGAAAAATCACACATTTTTATGCTTGACAACATTTATCTTTAATAGTCACGAAGGAACACATTGTGTAGATGGTAGTTACTGTCCTGTATGTACAAATTGTTTGAAATGTGTAGTCATAGAGTCATAAAGCAAGAGCAGAAAATTTTAAAAAAAGACTTGAGGGGAAGATCTTTTTACACAGAGGGTGGTTCACATGTGGAATGAACTGCCTGAGGAACTGGTGGATGTGGGTGCAATTGTAACATTTAAAAGACGTTTGGATAAGTACATGAAGAGGGAAAGTTTGGACTAGGATATGGGCCAGGAGCAGGCAGGTGGGATTAGTCTGGTTTGGGATTCTGTTCAGCATGGACTGGTTGGGCTGAAGGGCCTGTTTCCATGCTGTATGACACTATGACTCCAAACCCTAACCCTAATTGTCAACCATCACATTGACCATCGTGGCAACCCCAGAGCTAGCAGGATTTGATGGCGTGGCTTCCTCAGCCGGTCCTGTTCTAGACCACCCCATCCACCAGGCCCACCAGGTCCATGTCAGAGAATCATGGGGACATTTTCTTCTTCTCTAACATCTTGTAAGTGTACATCTGTCTCCGATCAGTGGAGCTTTGGAATGCCAGTGCTCTTTGGGGTGCACAGCAGCCTTTTAAAAGTGACAGGATGCCAGGGATCCTGGTCTTTTGATAGATATCCAGTGAGTGGCAAGTTCTTCTGGGATTGGCGAGTGGTAAGACGGAGTTAGAATAGGGTGAGAGGACTGCCACATGTTTGGTACTTAATGAGATGAGCTTGTAAAGATATTGCAAGAAATCCAAGAAATCCAAGAAACTTTATGAAACTGACACTTAGCCAGAAAAACTTGAGATTCAGTTCTCCGTTTATCATTAATATTTAAGTGATGAATGTTGTCTAGGGCACTAAGTCAATTCCCTCTTCTCCAAATGTTTCCATGGGATCTTTCACAAGCAGTTGAGGAATCAGTTTAATGACCCACTTGATAGATGCGTACTACTGTAGCAAAGCTTCAATCAGGATTATGTGCTTAACTCTGCAAAGTGGACCTGAGCCTACATCAGGATTTCCTAATAAGTGAGCTATAGCAGGCACTTTTGGTTCTAAAGTTACACATCCAACTGAAAGGAGAGTTCATGATGTAACTATGTTCATCAAAAATTCAGATTGAGCTCAGCATTTATTTGTTAAGCATGGTTGCCTTTGACCGATAGCTCATGCAGCACATACTGTTTGCTACATAAATAATCAATTTTAAAAATTCCAAAGTGGACTATCCAAAAGTACGAAGTCTAACAAATAGTTGTTAGTATCTCAGTCTCGGACAAAACATTTTAATCTCCACTAATGTTCATAAACTATTTATCTGACAATCAGAACTGCTCAGTTGAGTTACTGTCGGTGCAACTTGATACCAGCCATCTGTTATACTTCAACGGCAATATTTTATCTCATGGAATTGATGGTATTTTTCAGAATTAAATTTCTGCACCTTATTGACCCTGACCTACGTCATGCAAACATTCCACTGGAAGTCTATACAAATACACAGTAGCTTGTTTTTGTTTTCTTTCCTCTTTCACTCACTGGATGTAGGCTTTGGTGGCTGGCCAGCATTTATTGCCCATCTTTAGCTGCCCTTGAGAAGTTGGTGGTGAGCTGCCCTGCAGAACCACTGCAGTCCATTTGATATAGGTGGACCCACAATACTGTTAGGGAGTGAGTTCCAGGATTTTAATTCAGCTACACTGAAAGAAAGGTGTTATATTTCCAAGTTTGGAGAGTGGCTTGGAGGGGAACTTGCACGTGGTGGTGTTCCCGTGTATCTGCTACTCTTGTCCTTCTGGATGGACGTGGTCGTGGGTTTGGAAGGTGCTGTCTGAGGATCTTTGGTGAATTTCTGCAGTGCATCTTGTAGATAGGACACGCTGCTGCTACTGAGCGTCGGTGGTGGAGGGAGTGAATGTTTGTTAATGTGGTGCCAATCAGGCAGGCTGCTTTGACCTGGATGGTGTCATGCTCCTTCAGTGTTATTTGGAGCCTCACCGTTCCAGACAAATGGAGAGTATTCCATCACATTCCTGATTTATGCCTTGTAGAGCATGGAGATATTTAAGGATAGAATTCCAGGCAGAGAGCCGCAGAGGCTTGGCCATTAATAGTGGGGTGATGGGAATTGGAATGCAACATTGGCTTGCATATAAGGCACAAATGAAACTCATATTAGGACAATGTTACTAAACACTTGGCTGGAACTAAATCCTGTTAAAACCTGCCCTTAGCAACCCTGTATGGAGTGGTTGGCCATCCCTTGTACAGCTAGCTCATTTCAGCACGGCTAATATTAAGAATTCTGAAGCTACCCTACTCTGGAAATGCGTTAGTGTGGAAGAAATGCACAATTCTATTATTCAAAATTATCTGTAATTTTAATATTCCTTTTAATTTACTGTAAGGATAAAGATAGATCTGTTTCCCAATGCATTGCTTTGCTTTGCCTGACAGGCCAGAAACTGAAGGAATTGAAGCAGCATTAAATGTAAAGTGCTGTACAAGAATGGCTTGGCTTTTATGGTCACATATGAAGCAGCAATGCTTGCTGCTGATCTCAAAGAAAACTGCCTTCAAAGATCCAGATTTCCTTTTTCCCAGCGTCAGTTTGAATGTGCCATCATCTCACTAGGATGTCCACGTGTGCAGCAAAAGTGATAGTCATCAAGCAGGATAAGTAACCAATCACACTGAAGTATTCTCAAGGCAATAAAACAGCCTGTAAACAACTGTTCGCTTTCAATTTTAAATTTTACAGATAGAAAAGTAAATGATTTGACATGTATGCATAGGATTAATGTAAAAGATAAAATATCAGAAACTTTAAAAATATTGTGCAACTTTCTTATCTCATTACAGTAATTTGAAGTTTAATAACATTTTCTTTCAGCATCAGTAAACTTTTAGCCGTTATTATAAACTTAGTGACTCTTAGAAGTCCAGTAATGCCTCATTTCAATAATGTGTAACTTTTTAAAGGTTTTTACTATGAAATTGCTGGTCTGCAAGGGCATTTGTCATCACTCCAGTGACTTCAATTTGATTGCAGTCTGAGGGAAGCTTCAACAGCCTAATCTAACGCTATCAGTATAACTTGATGTTCCATCCTGCCGCCCATGCTTATGTCATCTTCCTTTAAATGCATCTATGCTGTTTAATTCAGCCACTTATAGTGGTAGCAAGTTACACATTCTTATTCTGCTGTCTTGGTAAAAGAATTTGCTATTTCGCTTTTGCTGACTATACTGTATTAATGCGGGAATGTAGAATCACTGATAGCAGCATCTGGATTTCTGCATTTAACTGCTCATGTGCAGGCTCCAGAAGTTGCTATCAATTCCAGAGAAGTAGTGATGGTGAATGCTGACAGTTTTGCCTTTATTACTGCTGCAGAAACCAGTTGTTAGATTTTACATTGAAAATCTATGCCAGTCAGTTCTAAGAATTCAATTTTGACAGACAATAAAGTTCTAAATTATTTAGCACAGATCACTTTATTATTTGCCTCCTCTTTACAGCCAGAATAAACTGTCATGAGCTTTATTAGGGCAGTACTTTTTGTGGAAGTAAGGAAAGCTTTATTCTCATCAATGTGAAGCAGAAAATATATTCAACAGATAAGGGTTTCATGGAGTCAGCAACACTTTGGTGAGGTAGAAATGACATTCGCACATAGCTGTTTTGAAAATGCATTTGCACAGATCTCTTATGCCTCAGTGGTGCATGAATTACCTTAATTGTGTGGTATTGAGTAACAGGAACAAAGACAGTTTGACATAAGCTCCTTACAGCATCCTTATCCAGAATACAATATGATTGAATGACAGAATAGACTCGAGGAGCTGAATGGCCTACTTTTGTTCCTGTGTTCCTCTATGAACACACGGAAATTTGAGCAAGAGTGAGCCTTTAGACATCTTGAACTGCTCTGCCATTCAGTGAAATCCTTGTTGATTTGATTGTAATCTCAACCCCACTTTCCTGTCCACCCCTGATATCTTTTGATTTACTTGTTAATCCAGATTCTCCCTGTCTCCATTTTAAACCTATCCTGTGAATCTGCCTCCGCCACTGTCTGGAGAGGAGACTTCCTCAGATGTGCGATGCCCTGAAAGAAAAACATTTTCCTCGTCTCCATCTTAAATAGGAGGCCCTTTTATATTTAAACCAAGTTCCCTGCTTCTAGTCTGTTTGTAAAGGGATTCCTAATCTCGACCAATAGGTGCAGCAGAGCTGGTCTTTATACATAGTGGTTACAATGTCATTCAGTTAGTGATTGATGATTCTCCAATTGTTCCCACTGAAAAACTTGCTTGAATTGACTGTGTAGGAGATTTAGCACAGAACTGAGCCAATCATTCATTAGCGTTTATGTTACACTCAGATCTCCTTTTGTTTTTCATCATCCTATGGTATCAGCATAGCTCTCTATTCCCTCTTACTTCAGATGATGGCCTACCTTCTCTTTAAATCATATGGAGAATTGGCTAAACCACTCCCTTACACATTCTCACCTCTCTCTCTGGTAAGTACATGTCTTCTATAATTCCTTATTTTATTTCTTGCTGATGATCTTATATTGAATGGTCGCTAGTTTTGCTCACCCCCTGTGACAATATTCATTCTGGTCTGCTCAGTTTAAATACCTCTTTCAGGTCACCATGTTAGCCTTCTCTTTTCAAGAGAAAAGAGACAGAATCTCTTTGTCCTTTCACATGGGTAAGGTATGACTCAGGGATAATGCCACTGGATTGCTAAGCGAGAGACTGAAGCTAATGCTCCGGGAAGCTGGGTTTGAATCTCATCATGGCAGATCATGAAATTTGAATTAATTAAATTGCGGAATTAAATCCTAGTCTAAAGGTGATCGTGAAACTGTTGTCAACTGTAGTAAAAACCCCGCTGATTCCCTAATGTCCATTTAGGGAAGGAAATCAGCTGATCTGGCCTACATATGACTCCAGACCCACAGTAAAGTGGTTGACTTTTAACTGTCCTCTGAAATGGCTGAACCAAGCCATTCATTTCAAGGGAAATCAGAGATTGGCAACAAATGCTGACCTTGCCAGATACACCCACGTCCCAAAAAAAAAGAAATTTCATAGAATCATAGGGGTCAAAGCATAATAGGCCCTTCAGCCCATCGAGCCCATGCCAGTTAAAAACAGCTACCTAACTATTCCAGTGCAATCTTCTAGCACTTGGCCCACAGTCTTGTATCCCTTGGCATCGCAAGTGCGCATCTAAATAATTCTAAAATGTTATGAAAGTTTCTGCCTCTTGAACCCTTACAGGCAGTGAGTTCCAGATTCATACCACCCTCTGGTGGTTTTGTTAAAGAAAAAGTGCCCTGCATTTCTGGTATCAAGTTGCAAATGTTTCTTGTACATTCTTGAGGTCTTAGACATTGAGAGTTCTTTGAGGTTGGTTTTGGACAGAATCCAGTTCCAATCTGACCTATCAACTTGCCGACTCAGCACTTGTAACTCTAGCCTGGCAAAAGTTTCAGGAAAATTAAGGAAATGGTTTGGAGGATCATATTGTCTCCTCAGTATAACATTACATGTATCCTCAGAATATATCTTTGGGAAACAAGAGTCCTAAATGTTGCAATATTTTAGAAATTACTTGGTCCATTACTTTGATTGCATCTTACTTCTATTTTGTGGGATTTTCTTTAATCACAATATGCTAGTGCACTCCACAATAGAAATGTGGAGAGATTGATGACCTTTCTCTTCATGTGGGACTCAAAATCAGCGTGAACCCATGCATACTAAAGACTTCAGTTAGGTGACAGAGCAAAGTTAACCTTTTTCTCATTACAATGAATCCACAGCTAACACCTGCAGTAATTTATTTTACCAATAAAATTGGCAATTTCTTTGAGAGACTAAGAATCATTATTGCGAGAAAGGGAAACATTAGTATTGCATGGGCTTTGTGGGGAGTGGGGTGGGGGGTGGCGTGGTGTGGAAGCAGAATTATTTAGTTGGAGCATTATTAGGATTCGATTGAGGATCCTTCATCCATCACTAACCCCAAACTGGAAGTGGCAGATGCTGCCTTTAAATTGTCGTTCATGTTGCTAAGCAAATAGAAATTATGATTAAAAGGATGAAATGTAAAAGCAGAACTCCTTTTCCCAGTCAATATAATGATTGGTCGTAATAATTGTCTCGTAGTATAGACTTGAATTTTGCTGAAAAATACATAATTTTGCAAAGCTTTTTGTCTTGTACTAAGGACAATCCATAAGAAATACCAAAATAAAGTGAAAACAACATTTAATCTGCATGAGAACAGAGTTCTGATTAGTTGGCAAGTGCATTCTGATTGGTAGAAGCGTTGCTATGGGTAGCGCATCAGTTAGGTGACGACTGACAATTAGGGTTAGGTTTTGGAGTTATAGAGTCATACATCATGGAAACCAGTCCTTCTGCATGGAAAAGTTGCCCTTCCTCACCAAGGTCAATTCGGTATCATCATGGTTTCATGAAGGGCAAGTTGTGCTTGACAAACTTGCTGGAGTTCTTTGAGGATGTAACCAGCAAAGTGGATAATGGGGATCCGGTGGACATAGTAAATTTAGATGGCCAGAAGGCATTTGACAAGGTGCTACATAAAAGACTGTTCCAGAGGTTAGATCCCAACAAGTTTAGAGTATTGGCTTGGATAGAGGGTTAGCTGGCTGACAGAAAGCAGAAGGTCAGGATAAATGGGTCCTTGAGGTTGTTGACTTGCTTGCCGACCTGGCTTGTTCTCGTTCAGACGTTTCATCACCGTGCTAGGTGACATAAACAGTGGAGCCTCCGATGAAATGATGTTATTCCACTCCGCTGGGAATTTATACTGTCCGGTCCGTTATGGTGAGTAGGTCATTTCCGGCTTTGATCTGTATGGGTTTGTATATGGGGTCCAATTCTATATGTTTGTTGATTGAATTACAGATGGAGAACCATGCCTCTAGGAATTCCCGTGCATGTCTTTACTTGGCTTGGGCTACTGTGTTTACCTTGTCCGAGTTGAACTGTTTGCTTATGGTCAGTTCTGAGGAAGGTCACTTGGCCCGAAATGTTAACTCCGATTTCTCTCCACAAAAGATGCCAGACCTGCTGAGCTTTTTCAGCAATTTCTGGTTTTGTTTCTGATTTACAGCATCTAAAGCACTTTCGGTTCTTATTTTGTCAGTACATTACCTGTTGTGAACAGCTGAAGGAATGTGATCCACTGGGTTTTGTGACATGCTGCCTACAACCAAGTATTACCCTGGCCAAGTGATCCTGAATGTGCTACAAGTGACATTGCTGGGAGTGTCACTTGGGTTTGCACAGTGGTGCACAGCCATGCACTGGAAACAACATAGTGATACACAGGAGCTTATTCATTGCAGGCAGAAAGAACACATGCATGTGTTGCACCTATCCATACACAAACACAGGTAACAGCTATCCTCTGGTCCAATTCCCATGGCTTGACCAATCAAAGTCAACCTGCCTGGTTTAAAACTTAAACAAAGCTTGGCAGTTATCTGTCAGCTGTCACCTGACCAAGAGATTCACCATGGGAATGCCTCCACTGATCAGAATGCACTGCCCATACAATACAAATGTTGTTTTCCATTTTTCTTGGTATCTCTTGCATGATGGATTTCCTGATGAATGCAAGGTGAAATGTTTCAACAAAGGTGTGTCTTTTTCAGTGACTGGTGATCCATTAGTGGGAGGATTGATAACTGATGCAGGGTGTTTCTGTCCCTTCTTTCACTGACTAGGCTTGCTGTTTGTTCTCAGCGAGCACGGTATAGTTATCAGCTGAACGTGGAGGGAAGGATAAAAATGTACTTGCACTGTGGTCTGTGCCCACTGTAATTTTTCTGAGATTGATCTTTGGTAACTTGTTTATTTGTGTTGGCGCACCAATGCACAAGTTGACAGAGTAAAGTTTGTGAATAGACTTAACTACATGATGAGTTCTTGATCACTGCTGGAGTTATGGGGGTAGATATAGAACAGCTTCCTATGGGAATTGGACAGACACCTGAGTGCACAAACCCACAAAGACCTGGGAGAAACTTCTTTTTGTGACTTGGAGAGAAAGTAAGACCAAGGGAGTTCTCCCCAGTGTTGTGGGCAATATTTATCTTTAAAACCAACATGATGTTTTTGAAAAAGAACACTTTGATTATCTGTCCGATACAACAGTGTTATTGTATGGAAATTGGTTGCTGCATTTCGAACAAGTGACTACAATTCAATAGCACTTTGGCTGTAGAGTACTTAGGACATCATGAGTTTGTGGAAGGTACTATATAAATAAGTCCTTAACTTTCATCCGATGGTGTACATTGTAAAATTAGTTATTGATTATTGACAGGCTATTTGTTTCTTGAGGTGTATGCGGTGAAGCTCAGTGTAAGCAATCAGTTGTGATATCCTTTATACCTGCCCCAGCCCACCTGGGGCAGCACGGTGGTTCAGTGGTTAGCTCTGCTGCCTCAAAGCACCAGGGTCCCAGGTTCGATTCCAGCCTTTGGGTGACTGTCTGTGTGGAGTTTGCATGTTCTCCTCATGTCTGCGTGGGTTTCCACTGGGTGCTCCAGTTTCCTCCCACAGTCCAAAGATGTCTACGCTAAGTGGATTAGCCATATTTAAAGTGGGGTTAGGGGCATAAGGCGGGTGTGGGTCTGGGTGGGTTGCTCCTCGGAGGGTTGGTATAGACTCGATGAGTAGAATGGCCTCTATCTGCACTGTAGGGATTCTGTGATTCTCATCCGTTCCAATCCAAAATTTATGGAGATTGAAAGTTCATAATGTCAATTAACCAGTACAAACATCTGTGACCCACCTAGTGTTTCATGAACATTTCCTCAGAACAGATCAATACTTTGTCATATTAATCTGATAGGATCTGTATCACATTTAACTAATGGACGTAGGGTACATTTATGATGAGGCATTTTAGAAGAAAACACAATTTGTCTTCCAGGTTTGAAAGTGCCAAGATGTCAGAAAGTACAGTGGATCTCACTAAATTTAACATTGATGCACCTCGTTGGGATCAGACAACTTTTGTGGGCAGGCTTAAGCACTTTTTCAACATCACAGATCCTCGCACAGTGTTAATGTCAAATGCAACCCTCGACAAAGCCAAGGATCTGGTTGACAGTTTCAGGTATGTAATTTAATCATTTCATCAGGTTGTTTCAGTATAAGAACATGGGTCCATCGCTGGTCAGTTTGTTTGAATTGGCAATTGACCAACAGAGGGGCAAGAATGCAGAGGAGCTGGCATTTTCTGATCTTTATGGTGATGGGCAAGAAATGCTAGGGATGGGCAAGAAATGCTGGCCAGCCAGTGATACCCACATCCCACAAAAATGCATTTTAAAAAAATGACATTTTCTGATTTTCATAGTGAGGTGACATGTTTACCTTTGGGATTTACGGAAATATCATCACCACAACTGAATAAAGAAAAATAGCTGGACGTTCCAGAGGATAATTCGTGTGTGGAATGATCTGCCCGAGGAAGTGGTAGTTGCAAACAATGTTAGAACATTTAAAAGACATTTGGCTAAGTACATGAATAGGAAAGGTTTAGAGGAATATAGGCCAAATGCAGGCAAATGGGACTAATTTAGTTTGGGAAACTTGTTCAGCATGGATTGGTAAGACTGAAGGGTCTTTTTCCGTGGTGTATGACTCTATGTTTATGTAGTACCCACCTTGACCCCAGGTCATCCCAAAGTGCTCTAAATCCAATGAAGTAAAAATAGAAAACACTGGAAGCATCCAGTTAGTCATTTGACATCCAATCCACAGGCTCACCACTCTTTGGGTGAAGAAATGGCTCCTCATCTCCATCCTAAATGGTCTACCCTGAATCCTCATACTGTGATCCCTGGTTCTGGACACACCCACCATCAGGAACATCCTCCCTACATCTACCCTGTGTGGTTCTGTTAGAATTTTATAAGTCTCTATGAGATCCCCCCCTCATTCGCCTGAACTCCAGCGAAAACAATCCCAACGCAGTCAATCTCTCCTCATACGTCAGACCCGCCACCCCCGGAATCAGCCTGGTAAACCTTCACTGCACTCTCTCGAGAGCAAGAGCATCCTTCCTCAGAAAAGGAGACCAAAACTGCACACAATATTCTCGGTGTGGTCTCACCAAGGCCCTTTATAACTGCAACAACTTGTTGAGCTTTTCCAGCACTTTCTGTTTTTGTTAACTATATTCCGTCGTCTGTATATCTACAGAGTTATCACATTAATTCCTGTTAAATGTGCTAATTCACAAGAACACAGATTTATTACTGCACATAAGAAGACCATTTGGCCCATCTCCTGCCATTTCTATCCAAATAATCAGTCAGCACCCCTCTTGAATGTCTCAACTGAACCTGCCTCCTCCATATTTCCAGTCAGTCCAATCTAAATTATAGACTGCAATATTTGTCAGAGTATGAATACTGAGTAAACAGACCCATGATTTCCCAGGATCACATTTCAAACATTTCTTCCAGTTTTGGAACAGCATTTACTGTTTTCCACAAACCTCAGAAAAGGAAAATATTGTTGAATCACATTGCTCTTTATTTGCAGTTGTCATCTTGACCTAGTCATCCTACCCATTCCTTCAACATAATTGCTCTCTCTTGTTTCCCACGCTACCCAGAAAATAAATGAAAAAGCTGAAAGACTAAATTTTAATAACGCCAAACACAATTACAGGATATCAAAGGCATCAGAAGTGCTTAGTGTTGATACCAGCAAATGGAAAACAGACATTAACACCAGTGAAAGCACATCCGAATCCATCCCAGATAAGTAGCAGAGGCTATAATGTGAAATAAAATGGTCCAAAAACAGATAATGACCATTACTGAAATGTTCTAGACATAAAAGTATAAAAGTACTCATTAAAACTGCAAACCTGAAATTAAAACTACAGAATGCACAGTGGGTTAGTGAGCATCTGGAGTAGAAAAGGCATGTTAATGCTTCAGTCGGAACCTTGCAATTAACTGTGATTGACTTGGAAATGATGCTTCCTCACCTGTTGGTTGTGCTTTGTGTGAGAAAGGTGACACCTGGTGTTGAGGTGTAAACCCACCACATACACTGTTGTTGAATCATAGCGAATATTACTACATAATGGGGCCCACCGCTCTTTTAGTCCCACACGTTAGCTGCAGTTCTGTTAAGCTAATCAGGTCTTGCGTACTGTTCTGAAAACCAGCAGGGTACAAAGTCCCATCTTCATATTGAGGGTATCCTCCATCATGCCCTGTAGCACCACCAATATGTTAGAGAGGACGGACTTCAAACAGATCTAGCAACTCAAAATTGGGCACTGATTTTGATCTTACCATAAGCCGTAACCTCATGTAACGGCATACCCCACTCTGCCGTCAAGCCAGAAGTTCAACCCTGGCTCATTGAAGAGTGAATGAGGGCTTGCACCCAGCATATCTAAAAATGAAGTGTCCAAAGAAACAGTATGTAATAGGCAGGGCTAAATGATCCCCAAACCATCTGATCTAAGTGTTGCAGTCCTGTCATGTCCCAATCATGAATGGTAGTGGATGATTAAACAACTAACAGGAGGTGGAGGCTCCATAAGAATCCGTATTGTGGAACAATGGGGGAGTCCAGCACTTCATTGCAAAAGACAGGACTGAAGAATTCACATTTTTCTTCAGCCTGTGGGCGTCTCATCCTGAAGTCCCCAGCATCACAGTCTTCAATTTGATTCACTCTGTGACATCAGGAAATAGGCTGAAGGCACTGGATGTAGCAAAGTGGGAGAGGCATTTGGTATTGTCATTGGACTTTCGATTCAGAGACCCCAAACTAATACTCTCAGGATGTGCGTTCAAACCCCACCATGGCAGATGGTGACACTTGAAATCAATTAAAATCTCAAATTGAAAGCTGGCCTAATGGTAACCATTATTATCAATTGTTGTAAAAACCCATCTGGTTTCTTTAATATCCTTTAAGGAAGGAAATCTGCCATCCTTACCTGGCCTGGCCTACACACCTCCAGACTCTGTGATGCAGTTGACTCTTAGTTGCCCTTTTGATATAGCATGGCAAGCCAGTCAGTTCTAGGGACAATTATGAATGGGCAATAAATGCTGGCCCTGCCAGCAATGCCCATATTCCATTAAGGAATTTAAAAAAAAACTACAAAATGAAGACGGGAAACTGGGTACTGACACTACAAACAGCTCACCCACACAACCTTCAGGGTATCACTGGCCTAGCGAGCAGTGCCCACATCTTATGAATGAATAAACAACACGGACACCAGAAAAGAGACAAATCTGGAGGAAGAGAATATTTGACTCTCTTCTTTGTTTTATTTTCCAGAGCAGGGTCTGTGCCTCCAGGTACGACAGAGGAGCAGTTACACTATGCGAAGAAACTGTACGACTCTGCATTTCACCCAGACAGTGGAGAAAGGATGAATTTAATTGGGCGAATGTCATTTCAGGTCCCTGGTGGAATGGCTATCACTGGCTTCATGCTGCAGTTTTACAGGTACCACCATAAAATTTGGTTAAAGGCTTATTGTGATCCATTGGATTAGCTACGCTATACAGCTAAGCCATACAGACCACGATAATTCAAATCTGAGTACCAGGAAAGAAAAATAGAACTTGAATTTATCAAACAATTTTCACAATCTCAGGACACCTGTACTAAGTGCTCTGCAGCCAGTGAAGTACACTTGAAATGTAGGCACAGTTGCTATGTAGGAAATGTAACAGCCAAAGTATATACAACATTCTCCCGCGAAAACAATGTGATAATGCACCAACAATCTGTTTTTAGTAATGTTCATTGAGGGTAAAAATAAATCAGAAGGAATTAGAAAAACCCGGTTTGAGTCCTACCTCCCCCAGAGTTGTGCCAAGGTCGCTTAATTAAAATCTTAAATCATAATGTAGATAGGAATGGGGCTATGGAAGTGGCCTTTTCCCGTGTTCAGGAAAATCCCGATGACTACAACAACAGAAACCTGCATTCGTGTAGCACCTCCAACATGGTAAATTCCCCTCAAAGTGCTTTGTGGGAATTTTATGAAACTGAATTTGAGATCAAGCCATCAAGCACATGAATGGTCACTAGACCAGACAGGTCTGAATGGAGAGGACAGAGAAAGGCAGAGAGGTTTAGGGAGGGACTTCCAGAACTTGGGACTCGGGCAGCTGAGTCCATGGCCACAGATGACGGAGTGATGGGAATCAGGGAATAGATAAAATGGCAGAATTGGAGGAGCACAGAGATTTTGGGAAATCTCTAGTTTCGGAAATAACACTCCAAAAACAGGATCCTAAAATGTAATACAAAAGTGCATTGGATCTGCATGGATAAGACCATAAGACTAGAAGAGCAAGAGTAGGCCATTCTGCCCACTGAGTATACTTCACGATTCAGTAGGCTCATGGCTGATCCAACATTCCACACGCCCACTCCTAACAATAGGCAGTGGTTACATTTTGACCATTAGGTCATCATCGAAATATATCGAATTCTTTCTGGGTTTGCCACGTCCCTGCCCTTTCCCCATAATCTTTGATTCCCCGAATGATCAGGAATCTATCTACCTCAGCCTTAAATATACACAAGCACTCTGCCCCCACAGTTGTCTGTGGCAAGGAGTTCCAAAGACTCTCAACCTCAACCTTCAACCCAAGAAATTCCTCCTCATCTCAGTCTTAAATTCGCCCCTTTATTCTGAGACTATGCCCTCTGGTCCTAGAATCTCCCATAATGGGAAACATCCTCTCAGCATTTACCCTGTCAAGCCCCTTTTTGGGAAGAAAATTTGACGTCTTTAGCCAGTCTGTCTTATATGTGATTTTGGATGCACACACTTGCCTACCCTCTGAAATGAGCAAGACACTCCATTCAAGGGGAAATTGGGGATGCGCTATAAATTGTGGCCCCATTAAAGATGCCCACATCCCGTGAATGAATTAAACAAAAAGTACTGATCAAAATAACTGCAGATAGAGCCATAGAGATATACAGCATGGAAACAGACCCTAGTCCATGCTGACCAGATATTGTAAATTAATATAGTCCCATTTGCCAGCATGTGGCCCATATCCCTCTAAACCCTTCCTATTCATATACCCATCCAGATTCCTTTTAAATGTTGTAATTGTATCGGCCTCCACCAATTCCTCTGGCAGCTCATTCCATACATGCACCACCCACTGCATGAAAATGTTGCCCTTTAGGCCCCTTTTAAATCTTTCCCCTCTTACCTTAAACCAATGCCTTCTAGTTTTGGACTCCCCCACCCCGGGGAAAATATCTTGTCTATTTACCCTATCAATGCTCCTCATGATTTAATAAATCTCTATAAGGTCACCCCTCGGCCTGAGTCACTCCAGGAAAATAGCTCCAGCCTATTCAGCCTCTCTCTGGAGCTTAAACCCTCCAATTCCGGCAACATCCTTGTAAAATCTGTTTACAAGATTTAGTAAGTTTAATAATTTTCCTATAGCTGGGAGACCAGGACTGAATACAGTATTCTAAAAGTGGCCTAACCCAATGTCCCATACATCCCAACTCCTGTCCTCAACGTACTGACCAATAAAGGCAAATAAAGACCAATAAAGATGCTGGGAATTGGAAGCAGCAATTGCTGGAAAAGGTCAATAGGACTGGCAGCATCTGTGAAAGAGAAAGCAGAGTTATCCTTTCTTCTGAAGAAGGATCACTGGACCCAAACTGTTAGCTCTGCTTTGTCTCCAGAAAAGTGCTGCTTATCTGAACTGAAAAGAGAAAACACTAGAAATGTTCAGCAGGTCTGGTAGCATTAGTGGAGAAAGAAACGGAGTTAATGCTTCAGGTCCGTGACTTTCTTCAGAACTGATGAAAGGTTCTGGGAGAATGTCGCAGAGCTGATATATCGGGCAGGATTTTTACCAAGGTCCCGATGTTGGCTGGAAATGTGTGTTTGCAGCAGGCACAGATGGATTGTCCAATTCCCTCCTAATTCCACAGGCAGCAGTTCAGTAAGTCAGTAAGCCTACTCAGGAAAGCTACCCACCCCCAAGAGCTGCTAACCCAATCAGATGACCCACAGCCTCAACAGCACCACAGGAGGAGTGACCACTCTGGAACTACTCGCATCCCATCGCACTCAAAACTCGAGATTACTTCAGAGGTTCTGAGGCGGATTGCTGGAGGAGAAACCCCTTAGGTGAGATCAGTGTGGCTGCAGGGGTCTGAAAGGTCATCAAACCCCTCTCAGCAAAATGCCAACAGCCTGGTAAATAGTGGCTTCATATTTTTAAATGAACCACTTCACCCCTCCTCATTTCAGACAGCCTGTCCATCCAGTTCCTGCTGTCAATAACATTCCTGAATTATGGGAGGGAGCCAGTTTGCTGTGACACCCTACAGTTTCACCAGTCCCATTACCTCTGCTTCATGCTACTACCTTTGTCTTGCCTTGTGTGGACTGGTTAAAAATTACTGCTGGGTTTCTCTCTCTTGTTGTATTTCCAGCATTTTATTGTTTTCATTCCTAAAATGTGGTACTGATCCAGGGATCTACAGCTGGTTCTCCTCTCTATTAAGATAATCTAATAGTTGATTTATGGGTTCAAACTACTGAGTCTGTATCGGTGGTAGTGTTCCCACCTCTGAGCCAGGAGATCCAGAATCTTAGATTTGCTACAGTGCAGAGGAGGCTGTTTGGCCCATTGTGTCTATTCTGGTTCTGTTACCTAGGGCCAATCTCCTGTCCTTTCCCCATACCCTTGCACACACTATCTTTTTAACTAATCATCCAGTACCCTCTTGAATGCCTCAATTGAGCTTGCTTCCACCATATTTCCAGGTAGTGCAATTTATACCCTATCTACTCCAGATATGGAAAAGTTTTCTTACATCATCCTTGCTTCTTTTGTGGGAGTAGCTTCTTCTCTTCTATTCTATCCACTCTGCTCATGATGTTGAAAACCTCTATCAGGATCTCCTCTTAGCCGCCTTCTCTCTAGGAGTACAGTCTTCGATCTGTCCTCATCACTGAGGTTTCCCACTCCTGCAACCATTCTTGCAAATCGCTTCTGCACTCTCTGTCCAATGTTTTCGCACTTTTCCCATAATGTGGCACCCACGTGTGGACACAATACTCCCAACTGAATGGAATGTGTGATACAAAGATTCAGGTCCTACCTGCTCCAGAGGTTTGAACAGGTTGATAAGAAAATAATCTATATCATGATCTGAGAGTTTTCTGAGATCTTCATTCAGTTTCCATCTCACACTCAATTAATTGAAAACTGATTGATGTTCCCAATGCAAAAGTGGCTGCTGTGCTGGTTCTGTGCATGATCAGTTCTGCTGTGACATCATACACATGCGTAGGTGCACAGTTAATTGACAAGAGCTGAAGATACATGATCTCAGAACGTCTGATTCATGTCTTCCTGCTCCAGTCAATTTACAACATTCATTATGTTAATTCACTTTAATGCTCACTGTCTCCAGCAAATGTTGAGAATGAAAATGTTCCATTCCTTTTTAGATTCACTTGTCTTCTAGCACCATGTAACGATGAACAGTTCTGTCTTATTGCCTGCTGCAAAATCACTGGCTATTGTTCTTCCTCAAAGATGTTGATTTCAGAAGTTGCCTTTCTGTTGTAGAAATTTTTATTATCTCTACTTAACTAATAATGAGACTTGACTCCAGCTCCCGTTCGAAGCAGTTTATTTTCTTACTTGGTACCAAGGAGAGTGAGTGTCAATCTCCACTGGCACCCGACTCTGCTAACACAGTGTACAACAATCTCATTTATACAATTAACTTCAGAGCAGGATGTTCCCGTGACATCTCGTGTTTGTTGATTCACTCATGGTAAGTTTAAAGAAAAACTGACACTGCTCGAGATAACAGGAATGCTGTTTTACAGATACCTCAATAATTACTTTTTCAAATGACCTTCGGCATGCAGCTAGCATGGGGAGTGGTATACGGTTTGATTGAACTCTAGCTTATCAGTAACTAGGCCCCACGGGGATACGAGGGACATCTCTAATTCATCCTAAAACCTTGGTATAGTGACAATATATCAAGAGATCCTCCTCTAGCTCTAGCTAAGATAACATGCACATAGGGATAACGCAGTCTGAGTAACTACCTCCGACTTCTGCTCAGCTCATTAAAACCCCATATGCTAAACTAATTAAAAATTCTTTCTCTATGCCATCAGTTTCTTCCATGTCTGCCCTTTCTGTCTTGGCCTAAATTCCCATCTACCCTTGCGATGTAATTTCTGTCTTGGCCTAAATTCCCATCTACCTTCGTGATGTAAAATTTTTCTTCCACACTTTCAAAACTAGTGACAGTAGGAGTTGGTGTCTGGTCAGCTTACACTGTACAAGGAGGGCTGTATGTTAATTGAATTGTACAGAAAATAGTGGAGAAGCCCATCAGGTCTGGACGAATGTAAGTGGAAAGAAACTGAACAAGGGGGGGCAAGAAATAGAATCAAGATAGGCAGGCACAGTGGG